ACTAACATATTACAGACTGTTGTACGCAGCTCATTTCTGTTCTCATTCAATTCTCCAGGTCTTAAATCCGAAGTGCCCTCCTGGTTATTGCCCATAGGAATGGTTTTTGCATTGATCCTGGTTGTTGCAATCGGAATCGCTTCTTTGTCCTACTTCAAAACAAAAGGACAACAAGGTATATTTTCTTAAGGTCTAAATCAACCAATTTGCACTGTCAAAATTGATGCGATGAGAAATGATTGTCACACTCACTCTCACACAGTAGAGTTATGCTTTGTATGCCTTTAGCATACAAAACTTATAAAAAAGCATCTGACTGAATTCTCATAAAATTTAGCTCTGACATTCTTTTGCTTTTGAAAGAATATCATTAATATCATTTAACTTTGAAGATCATGTTTCTTACAGTACGTTTTTGTTCCAACATCAACTGCTTGCATTGCTTAATTTAGAGTATATCATACTTAAGGATCACAATAATTTCTATTAAATATTAATCCAGCTAACTTTCCAATAAACAAATTCCTGAATTGAACCTCAATTGCTTAATGGACTCTGGTGCTTTAGACTCTGATGATTAAGGATTAGCCACAACAAAGACTTACAATGGAGCTGAACGGTTGCCTACCCCTGCTATATACTTTATTATTTAATTATATTCAGAGATAGAGAGTGTCAATAAAGACGTCAGTAGTGGTTCATGCATTGATCTTATAACAGATCCTTCCTTAATGTATCATTTCTAGAAGGACTCAGGTACATAAACCCAAAGTTTTCACTATATCAGTGATGGTTTCCCTGGCTCAGGCAGGACCAACTCAGATTTATTCTCCCTGCCCTCCTGTAACTTCGTCATTTATTGTTGCTGTTTTTTCCTCAATTTTCTTCACATTCTAAATCTTTCTGACACTAGAATTTAGGTCAATAATACTTTTGTTTGGCCCGATGTTCGCGATATAACTAAAATCCCCAACAATCAGAGACAATAACCTTCAGTTTTTAGATATTATATGAGATGCTAAAGGTCACCTATTTTGGTTCTTCTTGTTTAAATGAATATGATAGTGTATTCACTCTAGCCATTTATCGTGAGGAATGTAGAGCTAAGATACTGGGGAAAACTGTTTGAATTTGGATAAGTCCTGAGTTACTGACCTTCTATCTCTGTCATTGACAGTTCATAGTAGACAATGTGCTTTAATGATGACATTCAGAAATATACCTGTCACCACAATCAACATGCTGGTACTGAGTTCTGCTTCTGGACTGTGGTATTGCTGATGTCTGTAGATGAGAACAGATATGATGATAATATTTTCATGGAAACTGATAAAGTAGGTGGAGTTCTAGGGGAGAATTGGGGGGTGCTCCGCCTCTTCCTCTATCATTCAATTATCTCTTTGCCATTTAAACCTAATCCTGCTAACACACGCGTCTAGAGTTTTTGAGTTTCCTCCTCCTCCTCTTTCTGTTGTGGTACCTTTGCATTCAGGTTTCCTCTGGGGGGGGTCAGTGGAGCCCACGTCCCCGACCTCAGGATGGCAGCGCCACCTTGAGCCTTTCTGGGGAGGTTCTCAAGCGTGAGTCAGAGGGGACCCCCGGCCACATTATTCTCTAACTTACTAATTCTCGTTCTCTCGGTCCTGAGGGGTTTATCCCAGTTGTGAGGCAGTGCCTCAATGCGACTCTTAGCGAGTCAGGGGACTTCTTTTGCTTCCTTCTTGAGCAGCTTTGTCTTCATTCTCAACCCCTCGAGCAGCGCCTCTCAGCGCCACTGGAGTGATTCCTCCAGTCAGGGGTTCTTTCTCTTCTCCCTTGAGGGATTCGTTCCCAGTCGTGAGGCAGCACCTCTCAAAGTGACTCTCCGTGTTCGTGTTTTCACACCCTGGAGCCTGCCGTGTCAGCCAACCCAGTCGGACCCCTGGGTTCCCCCGTGCGGTCCGAGTGCTCTTTTCTCAACATTACTAACCCCTGCTTCTCCCCTTGAATTACCTAAAATCCACTTGTTCTTAATTTCTACACCATCCTGGAGGTCTTTGCTTTGTTATTGAGCTTCAGTTCATATTGGGATCAACTGTGCCTTTCGAAAGGTATTTAGAAATCTGAAAACTAGAAACTGCATTTCCATTATGTATATTTGAGACCTGATATAATTATGAATATTCTGTGGTGTTAGGTTTCAGGAGAGACAATTTCATTGTGTTTTATAGAAATTATGTGAACATGAACGATGACCTTTTAATACTCGTTTGATTTTGTCTCTATCAGCTGATCGAAGTGAGTCTCTTCACAGTCTCTGTTTTGAAAGATAAAACACATGGAGCTCCGTGGGTGAAGGGTTTACAAAGTGAACATTTAGGCATTATATAGCCAGTCCTTTAATCAATACTGTATTTACTCTGTTGTTAACATCTCTGTTGTCTGTATTTGTAGAGAGAATAGCAAATGCTGAGCAACAGATTTTTGATGAGAAGAGTAAGTATTGGTGTGTTTTATGTGTATATAAAGTGTAGTGTCATTAACAATGTGGTATTACAGTAGTAAGAACACAAATTGCACTTGTTCTGTTATAGATTATGAACTGTTAAACACAGCTGTCCTGACTTTGCACACTGGAGGAGTGTGTTGTGCTCTGTTGTTAATCAGATTCAATCATTCAGGCAGCTGTTAAACACTGTGGTTTGATGACAGTCAGTATTTGTCATTGTGGTTCCACTGGTAAACCTCAACAGAAACAGAAACTGAAATATCACTCAAGCGACCTTTACGAGTAGTACTGTAAGTTAACACTTACTGTGACTTAATACATTGACCACAATTGCACAGCATTTAAACAGGATAGGAAGCCAGCAGTGCTTTAGATTAAAATTGTGCATTTAGGGATGTTGGAGTTCACTGATATTGAGTTTGAGTGTTGGCCATTTGCTGTGTCTCCTGTGGATGACAGTTACATCTTGATCAATTTCTGTTTGACCCAAGACAGGAAACAAAATCACATCAAGCAGACATTGTTTTCTAGAGTACTTTATGCTATAATCAGTTGCAATATACATGGGAATTTAACAGTCCCTTTTCTGTAGGAATAAAGAAGTTCAGCATGAACTTCCACAAGTTTCTCAATTAAATGACGATGCTAAGATGAAGGTTTTCACTAAAGAATAACTGTTTTCTAATCATGCTTTACATAACAAATTACACTAGTGATATATTTATATGAAGCTTGTATTGTGTCCTGTTATCCATCACAAACCTGGTACAGTAGATGGAGATAAGAAAACGAGCAGGATGTACTGATCACAGTTTGATATAAAACTCATGCTGCTTGTTCTCTTACATGCTGTACTCCTTAGTTTGTGTACCCTGGGACATGTGTTACTGTTGAATTGACCTGATCTTTTGGATTGTAAAGTTATCTAAGTGCCAGAACTGTATCCTTTCGCAGCCTCTGTTTTCAAAGACATAACAGATTTATATACTGTAATTTCACCTGTGTAAATACAGTACGACAGCCCTCCTATTCACCCGGGGTTGTATCCAAGTTGAATATTTAGGGATAATGTAGCCACCCTTTAGTCGTATGTTGTTGCCACAGTCTTGTCATTGAATAATGTTTGGAAGTGCAGATGGAGCGGAGCAATAATGATGGCACGTATGTAATTGTTTTTAACAAAATCTTACCCCCATGTAATGGACTCTTCTTGAAATTGTACTCTTTTGTTAACTGTTGTTGTCTGTATTTGTAGAGAGAATAGCACAGCTTGAGAAAGAGAATAAAGAGCTGCATGAAAACAAAAGTAAGTATTGTTCTGTTTTCTGTCTTTGAAGAAAAACATCATAAACAACATGCTTTTCTCGTTATAAGAATATAAATTTCTCACTTTTTTATTTTGATACTAATTATGCTAGTATTGCTGTAGACTGACATTGTGCACTCACGAGTGTGGTACAGCTGTTACACTGATGATCAGTGCTGATTAGATGGTGTGTCTCCTGCAGAAGACATCTGCATGTTGGTCCTACAGATGGTCTAGGCAGGAGAAAAAACTGCAACTAATTCTGGCTTTGTCAGTTTTCTTGAAGACAGCAACTGTGATCAATCAGATGATTTCTCGATTTCTTTTACCTTTCACTGACTAAAAGCCCAGGAATTATATGAGTTCCCATTACAGCTAAATATTAAATATTTAGTTGCATTATGCAGGTATGAACTTGGCAAGCTGAACGTTTGTATTGTAGTTTCTCTTGCACCCCATAAGCACATAAACAAAGAACAGGACACTTTCACACCCAGTGAGATCTGAGAGAGCAGCACCAGAGCTCATGCTGCACAGCCATGGAGACCTGGAGTAAAGACCTGATGGCAATTTATATGATTACATTCACATTTACAGTATCTTTTCTTACAAATTGGACAGGAGGTAGATTATAGTA